TTTACAAACTTAAAACAGGGCTCCATGCTAAAGACTTGGCAGCACACTGCTGCTGTCACATTCCAGTCAACACAAGAAAGTTTCTTAACCAGTTACAGAGCGCATCTCTGTTTATCATCCTCAGTTTTCTGTTACAGTTCTAGCAATCACAGCAATGTTCTAGCAATCACAGCAATCATAGCAATGTGTTCCTTTTGTGAACACACATACTCTAGAACAAAAATGGCACCTAAGTTCAGTCCTAATGTTACAGCCATGGAGATATTTGGGAGAAAATTGATATTCTACCGAAGCTGTCTAGGAGGAAGATACAACAAATATAGGCAGTTCCCCCAATTACGAAGATAGGTTTGTTTAAATCCTGTTAAATTTAACCTGTGTGTGCCTTTATGATATTGTTAGTTTAGTCTGCAGTGTTTTTGATTTTGACGTTATGTGTTATGTTTTTATTCTTGCTAGATTTTATATTTATTTGTTGTGAGCTGCCCCAAGTCCTTTTGGAGAGGGGGCGAGATAGAATTTATTATTATTATTATTATTATTATTATTATTATTATTATTACCACTACTACTACTATTATTACCATTATAATTCTTAAGGTGAATGTGTTTGTTTCTGTGATAATTGGATTTTGAAAAATGTGGCTTGTTGTGGAAATCAGGATTGGTGATAATGCTTCAGTAGAGATACCTTTTCCCCATGAAAACTCCTTCAGGAGTAAATTTCCCTTCCTGTGGTAGATTTATCTCACTTCCCATTGTCACACTTGTTCTTAACTACAAGTCGTTTGGATGTTTATAACTCAGCCTCTCCTCCTTATTCTCCAGGTAGGAATCCCCCCCCCCCCCCGAACCTCCTTCTGCCACACTCTTTTGAGTTCTCTAATTCAGGGGATATTGCCAGAGAGAAAGTCAAGCAACGGAGGATAGCACCTGCTTCTATCTTTGCACTCTTCTTCACCATCACTGCAAAGTAGACTACCTATTAAGGTTGTTCTTAACAGGAGAGAGTTGGTCAATGAATGAGAAGTCACTATTCTTTCTTTCTCTTTCTCATGTCCCTATTCTCTAGTTCAGTGGTTCTCAACCTGTGGGTCCCCAGGTGTTTTGACCTACAACTCCCAGAAATCCCAGCCAGTTTACCAGCTGTTCGGATTTCTGGGAGCTGAAGGCCAAAACACCTGGAGACCCAGAGGTTGAAAACCAATGCTCTAGTTCTTCCAGTGTTAAAGAGTACAATCCATCCACACCCTCATAAGAGAAGGTGGATGAGCAATCAAGGGTGGGTCAGTAGGTTGCCCTTCCAAGTCTACAGCTTCTCCTCCATATTTGCTTCCTTACTCTGGATGGCAAAGTCCTATTATTGTAGTAACAGTTAAAGAGAAAGTATGTCTGTGGGAGATCAACTATTATTCTCCCGCCCCATGCATTACCAAGGGCTGGCACACCTATTTGTGCCTGCTTGGCAGCAATGGCTCAGCAACCACTGCTGCCAAGGGACCACCACCTTGATTTGCACTGTTCTGGAAGATAGGTGAGCAATCATTGGAAGAAGCAATTATCACTTGCCCAAATATTCCAAAGCAAAGAAAGGGAAGAATGAGCAATTGCACAGAGGCAATGGCTACTTCTACTCATTTGGTCATGGTCTTTAGTGAGCAGGCAAGCTTTGTGAAGTCATCAAACATGAAAAAAAGAGAGGAGCAGTAGTTACTCCTCCACCACCACTCTTACCTTCTCTGGCTCAAGAATGGATTGGGCCAGTGGCACCATTCAGTGGTTCAGTATCTTGGATAAATTCCTTAAAGTTCAGACTAAAACCCAGATCAGATCCACCACTCCACTGGTATGGATGCTACCCACTGTCCGCTTATGCTGCTCAGAAATAGAGCTGCTCTGCTTGCTCACTCACCCTCTGGGCTTAAGGTGACCAGAACTGATCACAGGAGAAGGAGTCACCTCACCCTCTCAGTTGCTGAAAGATCACTCAGAAAGAGCAGAGAGGTGAATGTGTAGGCAGATGACGTGGCTGCTCTTTTGGGGAACTTAAGATTCTATGCTGAAAAGATTCTATACCCAGAAAAGGAGAAAACAGATAAGCAAGCAGAGCTGCCTATGCAAATGCACTCTCTAGCCAAGAGCGTGGGCATAGTTCTCCCTGCCATGGTGCTCACAAGGGGGTCAGAAAGAAAGAGTGGCTAGGAATGATGACTGCAGAACTAAGAGGAGCTATGGGTTTGGGGAAAATCCTCATGACTCCTGAGAATTCTCTTCCGTAATCCTGCAAGAGCCAGTGTGATGTAGTGGTCTGAGCAATGGGTGACTCTGTAGACCAGGGTTCGATTCCCTGCTTAGATATGGAAATCCACTACATGAGTCACACCTCGCCAGCCTCAGAAAACCCTATGAACAGTTTGTCAAGTTGTAAAGGCAGACAACAATAACCACCACATTAATCTTCCAGGTCTACTTGGAAATATGGGAAATATGAGGAAAATAGTGGGAAAATATGAGATATTATTTCACAGATTGGAAAGGCTATTCTTTTTTCTTCTTTGGACTATAACTATAATCCCCGCTGGCCATAATAGGATGCAATAATCTTAAAAGGCAAAGTTTTCCAAGCTCTGTGCTCACTCCAATCAGCTGCTTCTGAAAAAAGTGCAGCAACATGAAACACCTTTTGTTCAAATTTGTATGCAATATCCATACACAGAGCTAGGCTCTCTCGCTCGCTCGCTCGCTCTCTCTCACTCACACACACACACAGCCCTTCAGATTCAGGCCAATGACCTAGAATCATAAGAGTTGGAAGAGATCTCATAGAGCATCCTGTCCAATCCCCTGCCAAGAAGCAGGAAAATCCCATTCAAAGAACTCCTGACAGATGGCCATACAGCCTCTGTTTAAAAGCCTTCAAAGAAGTTCTGGCTTACCCATCCGAATGTATCTCTCCTTATGAACCATCTAGGACTTTAAGATCATCTGGGGAGGCCCTGCTCTCAATCCCGCCTTCCTTGCAGATGCGTTTGGCAGGGACGAGAGACAGGGCCTTCTCAGTGGTGGCCCCTCGACCATGGAACGCCCTCCCCAGGGATATAAAATCAGGTGTCCCCCCTTCTAACATTCTGCAAAATGGTTAAGACCTGGGCTCTTTGAGCAAGCTTTTTCTACTGGAGAATAATTAGACATAAACGAATACATGGAATGACTGACAATGCAACTGGACAACAATTTTAGTAAGGAGACGCTGAGGATCTTGTTTTTACAGATATAGTTGCTTTTTATATTACATTTTAAATGTTGAATTGTTTTTATCATTGTTTTAACTGTATTTTGATATTTGTTATGGCATCAAATCGCTGCTGACTATGAACTGCCTTGAGTCACCTCTGGCTGAGAAAGGTGGTATACAAATGCGGTAAATAAATAAATGTATTTATTTACAGTATTTCTATACTGCTTTTCTCACCCCTAGGGGGACTCAATAATAAATAAATAATAAATAAAGAGCCTTCAATACACTCCGAGGCAAAGAGTTCCACTGCTGAACAGCTCTCATAGTCAGGAAGTTCTTCCTAATGTTCAGGTGGAATCTCCTTTCCTATAGTTTGAAGCCATTGTTCAGCATCCTAGTTTTCAGGGCAGCAGAAAACAAGCTTGCTCCCTCCTCCCTATGACTTCCCCTCACATATTTATACATGGCATTGGCCACCATTTCTCCTCTCAGCCTTCTCTTCTTCAAGCTAAACATGCCCAGCTCTTTGAGCCGCTCCTCATAGGGCTTGTTCTCCAGACCCTTCTCTAAACCTCTCGTTATGATGAACAGAAAAAAGGGCCAGCAAATCTACACTTTGGCATCAAAACACATAAGTTGGCCACAGGCTTCTGGCTAAAACACAAAAATGTTTGTGGTGTGTGTGTGTGTTAGCTCTCTCTCTCAAGTAAGATTAACATGAAGGCAGTAGCTTTAGAATGCCATTCAGAGCAGAGGAGCAATTGAAGGAATCCCTGGGAAAGACCCGCGCTGCTATAAAGAGGAAAACTCACCCATTATCAATGACTAGTACCCACCCAAGTTCAAGGGGAACTGGCTCCCTTTGCATGTGGGAGGGGGAACTCAGAGAACTTCATTCTCAAGTCATGGGCTGCATTGAAAACCTCCCCTTGGCGCCCACAGTGGCAACCAGGAAAGTCCCCCCTGAAAGCGAAAAGGAAGCCTTTTCTCCCAGCATTGCCTCCTTGGGCTGATCATAGGAAAGATCTTCACCTGCTGAACTTCGCCCTGCTGTGCGGTCAGGGAAGGGAAGGGAAGGGCAGAAAGGGGAAGCGGAACGGTGCCCGAGAGAAATGGCACGCCTCCCCACCAAGGGTTTTTCCACTCCTTCCTTCCTTCCTTCCTTGCAAAGCCAGCCCGCTTCCCCGCTGCCAAGGCGGAACAGCCTCAATAAATAAATCACTAGGACGGCTCCTGGGTGCGGGAAGGAGGGAGTGTATGCGTGTGTGTGTGAACGGCCAGGGAGCCCGTGTTAGCTGTGAAGGTGGAAGGATGCCTAACACGTAGGCGTGCCCACCCACCCACCCACCCGATTGCCTTCATGCCCCCCTTGGACTGAGCGGTCTCTCGACTCGCAAGGAAACGCCTTCGCGTGCGAATCCACAAAAGAGTGGCCACGTAGGAGCCCACCCCGTTCTGCCAGAGCCCCAATCCCCTCCACGCAAAGCATCGCAAGCAACATTTCCCAGCCGCCGAAAAAGGAACGGGATTTCAATATGGGAGGGTTTAAGGCAGAAGGAATTCCCACTCCCACGCCCTTCCCGAGTGGAAAAGAGAAAGACCCCGATCCCTTTCTCACACACGCGCGCGCCACTCCCAGGAAGCAGCCGAAAGTCGTCCCTTGAAACCTCCCAAAGCCCAGCCCCGCAATCCCAGGGGGGCTTTTGGGGGGGGGGGGGGAGAAGAACCCCCTCCTCTGGGTCCCGAGACGGGTCGGGCGTACCTGGGCTGGGGAAGCTTTTGGAGCGAAGCTGAGTCTGGTGGAGTCTTGGCGAATGTCTGCGATGTGGATCGGCGGCGGCTCTCGGTCCTGCCTTCGGAAGGAGAAGGAGGAGGAGGAGGAGGAGGAGGAGGAGGAGGAGGAGGAGGACGGCCCCCTGGGGCAGCCCCAGACGCCAGGCAGGGTTAACCCTCGCCCGCCCGGAAGGAGGAGGAGGAGGAGGGGGAGGAGAGGACGCCTTTGACTATAAAACAAGCCTCTTCCGGGACGTCGAAGCCCACCCAGGGAGAAACACATACATACATACATACATACATACATACATACATACATACATACATACATACAGTAGCCTCCCTAGGGGGGCATCTGCAGCACTCTACAGGGTAATAGTATGAAAGCTGGGTCCGGAAGCTCTGAGCCTTACGCTGTTTCCGCTTCGCTCCTTCGAGAGCGCTGTTTGCGCAACGCAGAGCGGAACACAGATATTACAGAAGGAATGTAAGAGTTCTTTCATGGTAAAACCCTTACTCGAACCCTAACCCTAAGACTAAACCCTAATCCTTACCCAAAACCCTAACCCTAATGCTAACCCAAACCCTAAACCATACCCTACCCCTAACTCTAACACTTAACCCTAATCCTAACCCTAATCCTAAACCATACCCTGCCCCTAACCCCTAACCCAGGGGTCCTCAAACTTTTTAAACAGGGGGCCAGTTCACTGTCCCTCAGACCATTGGAGGGCCGGACTATAGTTAAAGTAATACATGTAATAACAATAGAGAAAAGACTGACTGGGGAAGAGGGTGAGAGAGAGAGAATGGAAAGGGGTGTTAGAAAAAGTGGGAAAATGAGGTGAAAGGGTGATATCTGGAAAAGCACAACAGATTAGGGTGGGAAGGGGGCAACTGGGGAAGGAGGAAAGATTGAGATGGAAAAGGGGGTCTGGAAACTAGGAAAGGTTGGGATGGAAAGGGAGGCTCAGGCTGGAAAGTGGGAAACTGCAGTGGGAAAGGGGGCAAGACTGAAATGGGAAAGAGAGGCTGGAACCTGGGAGAGGCTGGGATGGAAAGTGGAGAGAGAGGGACTGGGGAATGGGGGTAGTAAAGACTGGGATAGGAAGGGGGAAACTAGAAAAAGGGAATACTGGGGTGGGAAAGGGGTGCTAGAAAAGTGGGGGGGGGGGCTGAGGTGGGAAGGGAGGAAGGTGTTGTCTGGCTCAGCCAAGGAGAGAAAAGCCTGGGGTCGCCTCCTCCTCCTCTCCCCCATCCCCAGAAGGGAGACCTGGAAAGCAGGGGGGAGAATGGAAGCAGGGGGGCAGCTGCTTGATTGTGGGAGGGGGCTCTCCTCCGCACTTCCATTTCCCTCCCCACTTTCCAGGTCTCCCTTCTGGTGGGCAGAAGGGAGAGAGGAGGCGACCCCAGGTAGCTGGTGGATCACGGGAGGGAAATGGAAGCACTGAGGAGACTCCCCCTCCCGCGATTCACCAGCTCCCTACCTGCCTGGTTGGCCAACTGGAGAAGGAGGAGGAAGAAAAGAAGAAACGGCAGCAGCACCCTTTCTCCTCTTCTTCCTCCTCTTCCTTCTCGAGAGCCAATTGGAGGAGGAGGAGGAAGAAGGAGAAGGGGCGCTGCTGGGTTTCTTCTCTTCTTCCTCCTCTTCCTCTTCAATGGCCAGTTGGAGGAGGGGGAGGAGAAAGGCAGCAGTGGCCTTCTCCTCTTCTTCCTCCTCCTTCCTCCAACTGGCCATCGAAGTGGAAGAGGAGGAAAAAGAGAAGAAGCTGCAGCAGCGCCCCTTCTCCTCTTCTTCTTCTTCCTCTTCCTCCTCGATGGCCATCTGAAACAGGAGGAGGAAGAAGAGAAGGAGAAGGGGCGCTGCTGTGTTTCTTCTCTTCTTCCTCCTCCTCTTCAATGGCCATTTGGAGGAGGGGGGGTAGAAAGGCAGCAGCGGCCCTTCTCCTCTTCTTCCTCCTCCTTCCTCCAACTGGCCATGGAAGAGGAAAAGGTGGAAGAAGAGAAGAAACTGCAGCAACACCCCTTCTCCTCTTCTTCCTCCTCCTCGATGGCCAACTGGAACAGGAGGAGGAAGAAGAGGAGGAGAAGGGGCGCTGCTGCGTTTCTTCTCTTCTTCCTCCTCTTCCTCTTCAATGGCCAGTTGGAGGAGGGGGAGGAGAAAGGCAGCAGCGGCCCTTCTCCTCTTCTTCCTCCTCCTCCTTGATGGCCAGCTGGAACAGGAGGAGGAAGAAGAAGAAGAGGAGAAGGGGAGCTTCTGCGTTTCTTCTCTTCTTCCTCTTCAATGGCCAGTTGGAGGAGGGGGAGGAGAAAGGCAGCACCGGCCCTTCTCCTCTTCTTCCTCCTTTTTCCTCCAACTGGCCATCGAAGAGGAAGAGAAGAAAGAAAGAAGAAACTGCAGCAACACCCCTCCTTCTCCTCCTCCTGGATGGCCAGCTGGAGAAGGAAGAGGAGAAGGGGCACTGCTGCCTGGGCAGCGTAGATAAACGACTGCTCCAACTCCCAGAGCAGGCAATGCTGCTAGACCAGCCCTGCGTGAGCTGCCTGCCGGAAGCTAAAGCCAGGAGGGCCGAGTGGAGAAGGGGAGCCCAGCTCTGCTTCTTCCTCCTCCCCAGCCTCCTGCTCCTGCTCCTCCTCCTCCTCCAGACACCAGTTTCAGCTCTCCCCAGGCTCTGACGGCGCCCATTTATCCGGCCCTTTCTTGCTGCCCTTGGGAGGGGCAGCCCTTCAGGGCACGGTGACCCGGCGCGGGCCGGATAAATGCCCCTGGGGGGCCGGATACGGCCCGCGGGCCGTAGTTTGGGGACCCCTGCCCTAACCCAAACCCTAAACCTTACCCTTACCTAACCCCTAAACCTAAACTTTAGCCCTAGTCCTAAAACAAACCCTAAACCTTACCATACCTCTACCCCTAACCCTAACAGTTAACCCTAATCCTAACCCAAACCCTAAACCATACCCTACCCCTAACCCTAATTCTAACACTTAACCCTAATCCTAAACCTTACCTTAATCCCTAACCCCAACAGTTAACCCTAATCCTAACCCTAAACCTTACTCTTACCATACCCCTAACCCTAACCTTTAACCCTAATCCTAACTGAAACCCTAAACCTTACCCTTACACTTAACTCAAACCATAATCCTAACCCTTACCTTACCACTAACCCTAAATCTTACCCACCAAATGCAACTATGAAGTATAGTCCCACCCTCAGTGTTGTTCTCAAGCGCCGTTGCGGAATGTGCGTAATGCTCAGAGCTACCTGACCCAGCTATCAAACTTATCACCCACTACAGAATAAATGCAGCCGTGCATCACTTTAACTGACTGGGCGCAGTGCTATGGAATCCTGGGAGTTGTACTTTTACAAGGGTTAAACCTTTGTGCGGGCAGGACCGAAGACTAACAGATCGGCGGTTCAAATCTGGAGAGAGTGTAGATGAGCTCCCTTTATCAGTTCCAGCTCCCCATGCAGCGACATGAGAGAAGCCAGTAATAGTATGATAGCTGGGTCTGGAAGCTCAGAGCATTACAGAGATGCTGCATCTCTCTTTCGGGAGCGCTGTTTGCGCAAGAGAGATTTAGTTAATGTAAGCGAGGCCAGAGAGAGATAATATAGAAGAAATGTAAGAGTTCTTTAATGGTGAAACCCTAACCCTTACCCTAACCCTGAACCGTACCATAAGCCTAAGCCTAAACCCTAACCATAACCCCTTAACCTAACTGTAACCCTAACCCAAACCCTAAACCTTGCCCTAACCCTTACCTTAAGCATCCCCTCCTTTCTATCCTTCCTTCACTCTCCCTGCTCTGACTCCGCCTCCTTTCTTCCCTTATTCACAGCCATCTTTGCAGCATTTCTGTAACGCTCAGAGCTTCCGGACTCAGCTATCATACTGGCACCAACCCTTGTGTGGGCAGGACTGAAGACCAACAGGTTGGAGGTTCGAATCCACGGAGAGCACGGATGAGCTCCCTCTGTCAGCTCCAGCTCCCTATGTGGGGACATGAGAGAAGCCTCCCACAAGGATGGTAAAACATTGAAACATCCAGGCGTCCCCTGGGCAATGTCCTTGCAGACGGTCAGTTTTCTCACACCAAAAGCGACTTGCAGTTTCTCAAGTCGCTCCTGACACGAAAAAACAAAACAAAACTAAATTGGGGTGCATCTGCACTACACTATAGAAGGAATGCAGCCCTACATAACTTTGACTGACCTGGATTAGTGCTATAGAATCCTGGGAGTTGTACTCTTTCAAGGGCTTTGGCCTTCTCTTACAAAGCACACTGGGGCCACATCAAAGTACAGCTCCCATCATTCTATAACATTCAGCCATAGTAGTTAAAGTGGCACCATACTACACAGCACAGGTCTCTTCGATATTGTCCTATAAATGTTTCGAATGGAGTTATTAAAAAAATACCAGTGCTTTTGGAATAGTCCCATGTAGTGTGTGTGTATGTGTGAATATATATATACACACACAAAGTAGAGTCTCGCTTAACCAACCTTCACTCATCCAACATTCTCGCTTAGCCAACCTTCACTCATCCAACAACGCAGCCTGCCTCCCACCCGGTTCCACAGCTGTTTTAATACTTGCAATGTTTTGGTGCTAAATTCATAAATACAGTAATTACTACAAAACATTACTGTGTATTGAACTGCGTTTTCTGTCCATTTGTTATTATCTTTTTGTGCTTAATTTGTAAAATTGTAACATAATTTGACATTTAAGAGGCTTTTCCTTAATCCCTCTTTATTAGCCAACATTTTTGCTTATCCAAAGTTCTGCCTAGAGTTTTGTTGTATAAGCAAGACTCTAATGTATATAATATATTTATTGCATTCATATGCCGCTTTTCTCACCCCTAGGGGCACTCAAAGCTCTTCACAGCATGATGGGAGCGAAAGGCCAGGAGAGAATGTTTCTGGAACATGGCTATACAGCCCAGAAAACTCACAGCAACCCAGGTTCACAACATAATCAATGGCAAAATTCAATTCCTCACATAAATAAACATCACATCTCAAATTGACAACAAATGATAATAGATCAAAACTATAAAACTACAGCAACAATCACAAATACAACATAAAACATTTAGGCCTTACATCAATCCTGGAGTCTTAACTACTTCTATATTTCCTTATTTCTGCCACTTGCTGAATACCTCCTTGAATAATCAAGTCTTAAGTTGTTTCCTAAATGCTAGGAGGGAAGAAGCCAGTCCAATCTCACTGGGGAGGGAGTTCCACAGCTGAGGGGCCACCACTAAGAAGGTCCTGTCTGTCTCGTCCCCAGGACCCTCCTGGCAGATCTTATGTGTTCTACCTGGCTCATAAAGGGAGATGCATTCGGACAGGTAAGTTGGACTGGAACCGTTTCGAATTCTGCTCGGTAGCAGACTGGCAGACAGAGGAGCTCACACAAAAGGGGTGGTTGTATACTCCCTGTATGCCCCTCCAGTGGGTAACCTGGCTGCTGTCCATTGGACTACTTGAAGCTTCCAAACAGTCTTCAAAGGCAACCCCACATAAAGTGCATTGCAGTCGTCTATTTGAGATGTAATGAGAGTGTGGGCCACCGTAGCCAAGTCTGACTTCACAAGGTGCGGGTGCAGCTAGCACACAAATTTTAATTGTGCGAATGCTCCCCTGACCACTGCCGAAACCTAAGGTTCCAGGCTCAGCTATGAGTCCAGGAGAACTCCCAAGCTGCGAACCCCTGTCTTCAGAGGGAGTGTAACCCCATCCAGCACTGGCTGTAACCCTATAAACTGTTCGGCCTTATGACTGACCAGGAGTCCCTCCATCTTGTCTGGATTCAATTTCAATTTGTTCATCCTCATCCAGACCATGACAGCTCCAAGCACTGGTTCAGGACCTGAACAGCCTCCCTAGCAGCAGGTGGAAAGGAGTACAGTAATAGTTGAACGTCATCTGCATTCAGATGGCATACACAAACACACACACACACGTATATACATGCATGTGATATAGATACTGCATTGTAACCTACTCCTGCTGCCGCTTCTTGAAAAATGTGCAATATGGACACTCTATACCCTATCTTGTTTCCCATAACTTATGATGCCAGTGCCTACACCCATCATCCCACTCCTCTCATGGCTTTTTGATGCACCAGCAGCATTACAGCACCTATAAATACCTTCACACTGAGGTACAAAGTCTTAGCATGTTGCTGTTGGTCTTGTGTGCATTTTGTTATATGTATTTTAATAATGTGTTTTATCTGTCTTTTTTAACCTTGTTGTAGCCCATCTAGATCAGTGGTTCACAACCTTTTTTTATTTTTTTACCAGGGACCACTGTCCAACATGAGTACCAAAAGGGTTACGAATCAGTTTTTGGTCAACTTTAGATTCAGTTTGGTTATTTGGGGTACTGATTCAGAAAATTACATTGGATAGACCACATCAGCTCTAGTTTCTTATACAGAACATATGCCATTCAGTAGTCACTGTCTGTCTGCTCACCAACGGAAAACCATATTTAATAAGCCTCAGTACTATAAGAGGGTTTTGTGAGACCAGTCACTCTCGATGCAATGGTGTAAGTAACGGTGAGGCCACAGACCATATTTTAGTTCTCACAGACCACTGGTGGTCCATGGACCACAGGTTGGGGACCACTGGTCTAGACTGGTGAGATAGGGCCCAAGCTTAAAAGTCATCTCAATTAAAAAAATGTTATCTTCCTCCTGTATTCTAAGATGTGCCTACTCACTTGGAGAACAAAGAAAAAAGTCTGGAGATAGGCATCACAGTTCCCTCAAACTTCAGTATTCCCTTAAGACGTAGCAAGAAGACCTCCTCTGCTGCATCACCCCAGCCATGGAATATCTACCAACATTGCTTTCATTCTATCACCATGAAAATGTGGTTGTTCACTGAAACATTTGGGGCCTAACTGGTTTTACATAGACCCTCGCATGTGCATGGTTTTAAATTGATTAAAACTATTTAACCAGCTTGATTTGGTCTCTTGCAACTTGTCAATTTGCTTAACACATTTTAGCCTTTTTAATGCATTTTTATTGTTCACGCTGTTTTAAATAAATCAGGTTGGTTTATCGTCTGCTGACCTGAGATCTTTAGGTGGCAGGCAGGATATAAATATTTTAATGAATAAAATCAATTAATAATAGGCAGTGCTGAATAGCAGGGGAGAACACAATGGAGTCCAGGAAAAGCAGCCAGATTACTGTTGCTTCCCTGCAGCATTTGCCACCTTAGGCATTGCCTCATTTTGCCTAATTTGAGGGGTGCCTCTACAAAAGATAAAATGCCACCTCTGCTTAGATGCAAAACTGAAAAAAAAAAAGCTGGCACAAAGCATGGAAAACATCCTTTGAAGCAATTAAAGATCACTAGTTTCAAGAAATAATGGTTAAAGAGCCAGTGCAGTATAATAAAAGATAGATGACCTTGCAAAAGTCACACTTTCTCAGCCTTAGAGGAAAGCAAAGCCAAATCCACTCTGAACTTACCTTGCTAAGAAAACCTCATGATAAAGTTGCTTTAGGGTTGCCATAGGTTGGAAATGAGTTGAAGGCACACAACAACATGACAAGAAGTAATGGTTATAGTATCTTATCTGTAGGTGCCTGATGTTCCAAAGCAACTTCCTACTCCTTATCTCACTTTTTGAAATGTATCTAGGTTTGGTAAAGATACCAAGAAAAACTTAACCTTGATACAATTACTGAGATTACTGGTAACTCCCAGTTCTGCTAATTCCAGATGGCTAGGCTCCAGCCCTACTATTCATCTTCTGTTGCTCCAAGGCATTTGGGAAAAATAAAATAAAATGGCACATAGAACTATTTATGCCAGAGTTTGAAATACTAAATCTGTTTTTTGAAAATGTTGGGGAGAGGACAGAAACCAGCTGTGCGCCCTGCCAGCACCCAAGCATCTGCCAAAGAATGCCAGGTGCAGAATACTTTGCCTACAAGTATAAGCCTGTGGTAACTGGGAGAAGCTTTTACTTCTGAGGCAAAGACACCATACCTATGTTGAGGGGAGGACATCTTTGTTATTGCCTCATCAGACATGTAGTCGGGGGGAGGGGGCTTTGGGGGCTTCAGCGTGGGCCACCTCTTAATATTATATTATTCAGGTTAAATATACCCAGCTCCCTAAACTGCTTGTTATAGTGCATGGGTTCCAGAATTTTATTTATTTATTTATTTATTTATTTATTTATTTATTTATTTACCACATTTGTGTACTGCCTTTCTCAGCCCGAAGGCGACTCAAAGCGGTTCACAACCAGCAACAATTCAATGCCTCAACAATTATAAAAACTAGAAAATAGAATTAAAACAAGTAAAATACAATTAAAACATGTAGCATATAATAAAAACCATACAAGCCATAAAAACAGAATGTTGATCATTTTGATTTTCCCTCCTCTGGACACATCCCAGCTTGTCAATATCCTTCCTGAATTGTGTTGCCCAGAACTAGACACAGTATTTGAGGTGAAATCTGCCCAGGCCAGAATAGAATAGTATGATTGCTTCCTTCAATCTAGATGCTATGCCCCTATTGCTGCTTAATGATAACAATCTTAGCATTCCAAGAGCTTGACCCTCACATAGAGCAAATGCAAATGAAAAAAATCCTAGCAGTCTAAGGGCACTTCAGTTTCTTCAGAAATGCAAAAAGTATGAGGGAAGCCCTCAGAAGATCCTGAACCTTCAATTACATACCTTTTCCTCTTCAAAAAATGCTCAGTGAGAATAGATAACTAGGTAGGAGAAGAAGTAGAACAAAGCAGTATATCTCATTCATGAGAGACCCTCATGGACATAAAGGACCAGCAAGTTTTCCCAGTGTATCAGGGACAACCATATTTGTGTTCATTAGCTACAATAATTTCTTTTTCTTTTCTGGATACAGATAGTGTGTGGATTCCCACTAGGCCAGGGGCTAGCACCACAATGGGAGCTCTTCATTCTGCAACATTTTGCAATAAGGCCACTGTGTTGGTATTGCAGTATTCAGTACTTGCAAAAAGAATGAAATTCTGATCAGAATTCATATTCATTTTTTAAAGAACTGTCTGTTTCCAAAACTACTGTAATAGCAAAAATAAACCCAAAATGACACAGTCCACCCAGTGCGCTTTCTTATTATTTCATGTGCACCACAAGAATCCACAACTTTTAAAATGTGTCATCAATGGGGCCTATTCTTCAGTCATCAGGAGTGCACGGCAGCTGCCGTTTTCCTCCATCAGCCAGACTGAGTTTCAGCGGCACCAGTCCTGGATGCATATGGCAAAATCAGTTACTAAATTCATTCCACTCCACTTTTTATGTGTCACACAATACAAACACAGAACATGTGGCAAAAGGCTAAACTGAGCATTTGTCATCCTCATGAACACAACAGCTGGGTGAAATCTGTGGCTGGCCGGAGTAAAAATAAGCTTTTGTCTCTGGTCTCTCCAACAAGAAACAACAGGATTTTCACCCACAGAGAACATAGGTTTCTCTCCTGCATTTGTAAGTAGTGGCTGTAGAATTTGTGAAGATTCAGAAATGCAAATACGTGGCTGGCTGAGAAAGTGAAACCTTTGCTTTCTTATGGTTCAATGTACACAGACTTTGTTTCCTGCACAACGTTATTAAAATAGTGTGTGCAAAATTGCCTTCAGACTGTGTTTAGAAGGTGTATATGAATCATATATGAATGCCATGTTTAGACTTGGGTCCCATTTCCAAGATATCTCATTATGGAGATGTGTGTATTCTACAATCTAAAAAAAATCCAAAAAATTAAACAGTTTTATTCCCAAGCATTTTGTATAAAGAGTACTCAGCCTGTACTATTTCTGCCATAAAAGCTTATTAGTTTATTGAAATTTTTAAATATCCTTGCATAGGCCCTAATGCCAGCACTGGCCCAATATATTTTGCTGCTTGAGAGAATGGACAAAATAGCATCTCCTCTCCCATTATCTCTTCAAGTATAACAGCTGACCAGAGTAGCACTTGAATTGTATGTCAACACTAGTGTGTCAGTACTAGTGGGCAAAAGCTATACTTTCTGATTAAATTTATAGGGAAAAATGAAATTGTGGTTTTGGAATCAGGCTTTTGGCTAGCAGGCACGGCAGCACTTTGGACACTGAACTGGACCATGATTGTTATGATAATGGAAACAGCTATGTGACTGTATCATTAATGTATTGTTTTTAATTTATTGCATATTTATGGTTTTATATTGTTATATTGATATTGCAGCATCGAATTAATACCTAGAACTCTCATCATTGCTGTGTTTGCATTGCTTTGGTAACTTTGCCTGTCCCTCTTCTTTGGATGCCTAAACAGTATCTCTCAATATCCAACTGAAGTTTTAAGTTACTGCAATGCTAGAAATTTAGGGAATTAAGGAAAATTTCATTTGCAGAACAATGTCCTCATTCCACCCCTATCAACTACTCCTTTGAATATACAATTATGTGAACATGCATAGTGTGGGTCAATGTAACAGTTTCTCAAATAAGCAGTTTCTTTTCTTTCAAGAAAAGATTTAAAAATTAGTCCCAAAATATATACCTATTTAGTCTATGCCTTAAAGTTCTAGCTTACAAGCTTTATACTCCAAAATAATTGTTTTGGGAGTATGCTTGTTTTCTCTAGAGTATTGCTCAGCTCTAGAACTTGACTTGCAAAGCCCAGTATTTGGATCCAATTTGGCAAAGAATCACAACTAGTGGCTTAAATGTTTATTAGGTCAGGATCTAAACATGCTCTTGAATGTTTCTGCAGCCCAGACAGTGAGAAATGCTACTCTTGGCCATCGTGTGTATTGTTGGATATGTAATAGAAGTCTGCTGCTTTGAATAGACAGTGAAAACTGTTTAAAGTAAGAAGGAAAATAATATTTATGATAGGAACTCCATCTGAGATAGAAAGATAAAAATAGGCTTCTATGCTAGCAACATGCTTGGGAAAGAGAAAATATGTGATTGAGGGAGGGAGGAGATGAGGCCACCCATATGATATTAGTTTACGCAGAGGGAGGAGACAGATGGGGCTAGATAAAAAAAAATCTGTTCTCACTATTAACACCCCTTGTGGATACAGTTAGGGTTGCCAGATCTCAGGTCCTGATCCCTCTCTCCAATCCTCAGGGAAAGAAGGAAAAATCTCAGAGGGAAAGTCCTGCCTTGGTGTGTAAATATATTTTGATAGGGAGTGCATGCACGCAGTGGCTAGCTAATAGGATCTATGGCAGCATTGGCTGTAGAAAATAAACTAAACTTTTATTATAGGAACTCTATCAGATATAGGGAATTCTGAGGCTGCTAAATTACGATAGATTAAACTAGAACAGGAAGACAGCTAAGCTAGTTTTACTTTTGGAGCAGTAAAATTGGAAAAAAAGGAGTGGGGAGAGAAAAAATGGAATGGTCCCTATGGTCCCTAAAAGTGTTATCACACAACACCATTCCTCTCCAGGTTTTGGTGTGTTGCGGGCAGGGCCATAGCCGGTGGGGGGGGGGGGGGAGGGGGAGTTAAATGTTCAATCCTGCCCTGAAATGTTTTAGGTTAAAAAAGAAACCTGGTTTACTCATAACTTGGTTAACCAGTTAAAATTCTTGAGTAAACTAGGTTTCGGGGGGGGGGGGGTTAGAACCACCCTTAAAACCCCTCCCCCTGGCTGTGGGTAATATTGAAAAGGTGTTTTTCCCCCATTATGGAAATAATTTGTTAATGATCTCCTTTTCCCACCACAAATCTGTACCATTCTGAGTGTAGATTTCTTTCTTCCATTACAATTTATTAGTGTGCATCATGTGTCTGTGGCCAGGTTATCACTCCCTCAAGGATTCCCTAGGAAATCTCTGAGAAAAATTGCCACAGACCACTTTTGGTGCTCTAACAAGTATATTTTAGTATGTTTAAACTCCCCTTAACCCCCTATTTTGGTTTCTAAATTTGTTTGTTTACTGTTGTATTGTCATAACATTAAAGCATATCATATTATTGTGCCACCAGAGTGCTATTAGATGAACCAATCAAGAAATGGGAATGGGTACAGGAATCAGTAATAATGCCATTAATGTTGACAAAAAATGTACATATGACACTCTTAAACTGTAAATGAGACAGGGGTGTGGGGTGTGATAGATTATCAACAATCTTCTTACCCTCACAAGACTGACTAGAGTGGATTATAAATAATACAGCATAAAGGAGTTGTGTGATAATGTCCTAAGAGAGTTTAGGATATGTGGCTAAGACATGAAAAGCTTTAAAGTCATTGAAATCCTCATTAAGCCTCTCACCTCTGCTCTCTTTAAGATATATTTAATTATTTGCAACATATATTTAGCCTCACTTCATAGATGTGATGTTTTTTATTTGAGCAGTATAACATGTGCAATGGTTGATGCTTAAGGTATCATTTTTAATGACTTCATCAGGACCTGTCCCTTGCAAAATCCCCATAGGCCCAATTACACTACAGAATTATAGTGCTGAAATTCCACTATAATGGCTCCATCCTTTGAAATCCTGGGATTTGTAGCTTAGTGAGGCACTGGAATGCTGATGACTGAAGGGAACCATGTCAGTGAAAGTAAAAGCTAGCACTATAACTGTGTCATGTGAATTGGTTTCTGGTTCTACCTCTGAGGCCATCACAAATTATTCTTTGTAGGTCTCAGGTTTTGGTCTTGAAATCTCAGGGCGTATCTTAACAGCATTACCTGAAGTCCTTACTGCTGACGTTGCTGTACTCCACACATATTAAAGAATAAATCTTACAACTCTGTAATTATAACAATGAAATACTGGTAATGTAATATTAATTATGATCTTTCACACATATTAAATAATAATTCTCACAACTCTGTAATTATCACAATGAGATGCTGGTAATATAACATTAATCATGAGCATTTAGTCTTGTCTGCTGTATTTCCCCATTTTAATGTCTCCTCCAAGGGAGTTTATTTCTTATATTTTGGGATTCCCTGCCACCTCCCTGCCCCCAGGCAAGAACGAGGGATTAAATTTGATTAACAGCTCATTTTTAAAGCACATCTGTTCAGAACTAATGACTTTCAGGCTCCACTTCCACATGTGCTTGTAATATAATATAATTTCAGTAATCTAATATAAAACTTTGTTTATACCCCACCACCATCTCCAAAAAAGGACTCAGGCTGCCTTACAGAAGCACATAGAAGTGCCATAAATACATGAAATACAGGTAAGATCACATCAACATACTTACCACTAACTTGGGAGTCGTTTCCACTGATTTTGGGATTTGAGTCAAAATTCATAGGTTTGGACAACAAGGTTAGAATGCTCACTTGGGAAAGTTGTTTTTGTTTTGTTTTGTTTTTTGCTGTGATACTTCCTCATGAACAAGCTTTATGAGACCAGTTCTCCTCTGGAGAAAATACAATGTGGATAATATAGTCAAATAGATACTGCATAACCCAGCAACCAATAGGAGCCCCCAGTGGTGCAATGGGTTAAATCCTTGTGCCAGCAGGACTGAAGACCAATAGGTCAGAGATTCAAATCTGGGGAGAGCGTGGATGAGCTCCCTCTATCAGCTCCAGCTCCTCATGCGGGGACATGAGAGAAGCCTCCCACAAGGATGGTAAAACATCAAAACATCCAGGCACCCCCTGGGCAATGTCCTTGCAGATAGCCAATTCTTTCACACCAGAAGTGACTTGCAGTTTCTCTAGTTGCTCCTGACACAAGAGAAAAAAGCAACCAATAAATGCTTTTCCATTCTATTTTGTGGGTAAAAAGAAGTGCTGCTTAATTTTCCACTTTGATACAAAAGGGGCCTGCTATTAGGATGTCTGTTCACCATAAAAATTATAAGAGGAATATTAAGAATATGCCTTTGGGTTGTGCCATGAAAAAGAGAGAGGAAATAGTTGAGTTAAACCAGTTGTTTAGAGAGGATGCAAAGCCAGGCTTAGTTTTGTTGCCAAATTCAAAGACCAGCCATCCTTTTCCATCATTCTTCCCTATTTGGCTGTAATATGCATATTCCATTTCCTGCTTTAAAGCTATTGTTAAGCATTGCTTCTTGATATTCTCTGATCCCTGAACTGCTTAATATTAATGAAAGCAGAGGCACCAGCCCTCAATTCCAACATAATATTTATTTGAACAGACATTTCTGACTGGCATCCTCCAGAGATTTATGATGATCAATTATGATGATGCAACCTGTGTACACTTCCATGGGAATTAAACCCATTAAACCGGACTTAATTTTGGCTCAGTAAACAAAGCCCAGATATTGCTGCATGTGATATAAATTTAAAATGTTGCAGATCTGCTTCCCAACAGCTTGAAAGTAACAAGCTTCATTTAATCCAATTCCTTGTAAAATTACTTTTCTTGATAATGAGGACATATTAAAGGCACATTTAAAACTTAATGTGATGTATGGAAAGTCAGTATTTTTGTGGTATCACTGGTAATGTTACTTAGCTATTTTAAATGGGGTGGGGGGAGTCACAGGAGTTTTTGTGACATCCTCTTATGAATCCGATGGAGTTTTTCAAATAAAAGTAGGGAGTCTCACAACAAACAAAGTAACAAGTTGCCTTTTAAATGCTGCAGTAAATGGCAGCAATTAATTAACTTTAAAACACTAAAAAGTAGGACTAAGCATTTTTGGCCTTCAGATAGTGTTTCAATGGTTCTCAAACTGTGGATCTCCAGATGTTTTGGCCTTCAACTCCCAGAAGTCCTAACAGCTGGTAAACTGGCTGGGATTTCTGGGAGTTGTAGGCCAAAGCACTTGGGGACCCACAGGTTGAGAACCACTGTTGGTAACTCCCATCAACTCTAGCAAACCTGGGAACTGTAGTTTGTTTGGGTTTTTTTCTGTGTTAGGAGCTACTTGAGAAACTGCAAGTCACTTCTGGTGTGAGAGAATTGGCTGTCTGCAAGGACACTGCCCAGGGGACGCCCAGATGTTTTGATGTTTTGCCATCCTTCTGGGAGGCTTCTCTCATGTCCCCGTATAGGGAGCCGGAGCTGACGGAGGGAGCTCATCCGTGCTCTCTCCAGATTTGAACCTGCAGCCTGTTGGTCTTCGGTCCTGCCAGCACAAAGGTTTAACCCATTGTGCCACCGGTGGCTCCAGGAACTGTAGTACAACACTAGAGGGAAACATGTTGTCCTTTTTAAGGAATAATGGGACAAAATACTTTTTAGAAAGGTAACCGTCCTCACTTTTTGCCTTCACCAACATTGGCTATGGTAGCCAGCCAGGCATGAAAAGACTGCTATAGATACCCCATAACATATAAACGTCTTGGAAGGAGAGGATTTGCCATGCTTGTGGCATATTTTATTATCCGAATGAGACTCACATTACATTGCAAGATCTAAAAATGTGCCATACCCAAAGGAGTGTTTGTGTGAAAGAAGCCAGGTGTGTTCCAGCTAAATTTCCAGAGCCAGAAAACACAAAGTTGAATAAAAGAACGATCAAACTAGGTGTATACTAGTTATATTGTGAGATATTTGCAGAACCAACAGAATTTCAGTGCTTTCTCCTGAAAGAAGTTTCCATTTCCCCTTGATGAGGCCATTCCCCCAAGTGACCAGAGCACATTACTTTAGAATCTCTGTATTACTACTCAAGGGCAAAACTGTATCTGCCATAAACTTAAAGGACTGGCTATTTCTCCATTCAATTTTGGGCCTGTGTCCTTTAAATATCTTATAATTAGCCATTATTAAAGGACTCATGTCAGGAAACAAACTAAAAACCTTTGGGAGGATATCTTAGGTAGCTGGATTAGTGAATTTCATGGCCACATGTACAGCAGAGGTGGTCAACTGTGCTTCTTTGGGTGTTTTTAGAAGGATGAAGAAGACCTGGCTATGGGACCAAGCCTTTGGGGCAGTGCAATGAGGCAATAATATAATGGTGTCCTGAGATGGTTTTAAAGTGGATATAAGTTATTTTAATGTTTGTATATATTTATTGTTTTATGTCCCGGCACTGAATGTTAGTGGTATATATGTTGTGCTCTGCCCTGAGTCCCATGCAGGGTGAGAAGGGCGGAATATAAATGTTTTAAATAATTAAATGTTTTCCCCTATAACTCCCACTACCCCTAGCCAACATATGTAGTGATGCAGGATTATGGAAGTTGTGGTCCACATATGTCTTAAAGGCCCTGGGCAAGAATGTTGCTTTTAGTGGCTGCATCGCATAGTACAAGCATATTGCAGTTAACAAGTCCATGACAATGAAGGTCCATTTTGTATAGTCTTTTTATATCTTTCCATACTTTTCCTTCTCAACTTCTATCTAGATGTCAATTTTTAGGAGCATCAGCATTATGGTGGTTGCAAAGAAGGACCGGAGAAACAAAGACTACCTCCCATCAGCTCTAGCCAACCAGACCTATGGTGATTTTGAGTACTTTAATTAAAAAGCAGAGATCTATAAATTTGGCCACCAAAATAGAAATCTTAAGAAAAATGGAAGCTGATTAAAGAAAAGTCATTCTTGGATGCATTTTGTAAGAAGTTTTCAATTGGTTGTTGTAGGTTTTTTTCGGTTTATATGGCCATGTTCTAGAGGTATTATCTCCTGACGTTTTGCCTGCCTTTATGGCAAGTATCCAACCAGTGATTCCGGCCATGAAAGCCTTCGACAGTCTTCAGGTGGTCTCTTGAAGGTTCAGGATATTTTTATTTACTTATGCAAGACTTACCTGACCTGGTTGTTTCATTTGACACATACATATTGTTCATTTTGAATAAAAAGTTTGCTGAAACATGTTGAAGTATCCTTTTATTTTTTGAGATTTTGAAATGTATGCCTATCCATTCCATGTTACGTTTACTTCTGGTTCTACATTTTCTGTTAAGTAATGCCCACAAACACATCTACATTGTTAATTGTTGTACATCTGCATTTTGCATCACCAAGCTTCTGATGTACATTACAGGAGGCATGAAGTATATCCAGATAAAGATCTCCTTTTGGGTTTTCACAGGAAACCACTTTAGTTATAAAATGACTAATGATATGCAAATACATTCTGCAGAATAAAGAACTAGAGATGTTTTTAAACCAGCAGTGCCTCAGAACTTTCTATTCACACTCAGAGCATTCACACTATAGGTGGTATTCTCAATTTATTCTGAGTTTAGAGACACTACCTAAATAATCATATCTGGGGCCCCATCAACACTGCCATATAATTCAGTTTCTGAATGCAGATTATCTGCTTTAAACTGGATTATATGAGTCTACACTCAGATGGGACTTACACTTGTATAGGCACATACGGGCGAGTACTATTGTTTTTATGTGCTTTTCAATTAACATTTTAAATAGTCTTAATTTTAATAGGCAGTTTAATGCTTTTTTTCACATGTGTATGGTTCGAGTTACATGTGGTCCTACCTGCATTCCTTTTCTCTTGGGTGCTCCCTTGTGCTCCAGTTTTAGGGGAAATGTGGAGCATAAAGAGCGCAATTGATTGATTGTGATGTTCCAGTATGCGAATGAATATTCACACCATATCTTGGACCAAGGGTGTCTTGAAAGAGCTACCTCTATTTCCCATTGTAACTTTTCAATTAAGTTGGGATACATCCTTCATTTAAAATTATTTGTTTATCACCTATCAGCCCCTTGAGGCACTCATGACTGAACCAAGATTTAGCCACTTTTCATCTTACAATCAAGCTCACTCTCACTTATTCCACACAATGTATTTAATTTCTGGCTACCATAGGTAGATTGCATACAGGATGATTAAAGAATACCTCACAAGAACAAAATCCAGTTGGAACATTCTACCTCTTACTACAACTATGCTCAAAATATAGAGAAAAAGTAGGATTCTGTGAAGAAAGCTCACAAGCCCTGCTTCTTGACTTCCCCTGTTCCAGTTAAATTGTGCTCCCATAGCCTTCTACAAGCAGGAAATAAGGTACTGCTACACCTTGTAATTCAAGCAGTATTATCCTTATCTACAAGACATTGTTGGACATGTCACTGGACTACAGTCTGCAAAAACTTGTACCCCTGAAACAAAATACAGTGCATCCTCCATACGGTGCAGGACTGATATCTGCATTTTCATTTATCCATGTCTGACAAAATGTATCCTCACTAACATTTTTTCAGCATGACTGTATGGTATTCATGGGCCAGAAGTCCTTCATTTTAACAAGGTTCAATATTTTCCATAGTTTTGTATATCCACATGAAGTTTGGACACATATCCCCAGCAGATACAAGAGTTGTATTGCATTTATTTATTTACTACAAATTAAGAACCTTAACCATATTGCACATATCAGCAGAAAACAAACATATACATTAAAATTGCATCATTAAAACATATAAATTAAAACAGTTATTTAAAATCACACAATCCAGTAAGTTACATTTTAGCAATCGGGGGGGGGGGGATGTGTGGTCAGAATGAGGGGGGGGGAATAAACCAGTATCTTCTCAAATTTGGTAAATTGAAATGAAAAGTTCCATTGTTGTGGGAATGTGGGGGTACCCACTATTTGTGGTTCTGCTTGTCATTGTGAAAATGTAATATGTGTGTACCAAACTATAGAATACCACAGTGCACTCTGCATTCCATTGCACTAGCAGTCTAACACATTAGAATCCTTGCTTGGTCTTTTTAATACCTTAAAAAAATTCTCACTTAAAAAACAACATAACAATGTATGTGATATCTCTATTACCCCCCTTCTCCAACAGTGAAAGCTCGGAGATGATAGGAGTTGCAGTCCAATCTCTGGAAGGCCACAGTGCCTCTAGTTATGCTCTATAAAGTAATCTGTAAACTCCTCCCTGTAGTCTGGAATTATTCTGTTTAGAAACAGGTGTACACCTTTACATGCCGCTGGCAAAAATGCCTTTAAGCCACTTCAGGTTGTGCTAAGAGATTATTAATAACTGGGTATCTAACATGAAACAATAAAGCCCCAGGGGATGAAAACCTTCCACTCGTAAACACACATCCTTGGAATTAGTATGGTAGCAATAAATCTGGGAAATATAGATAGAGCTGTGCAACCTGTTTCTTGCTGCAGCTTGCAGCTAAATATTTGCAGAAGGGCATTCAGATCTTAGAAATTTATATCATATTTGATTTCTACCACATAATTTGAATTACATTTGCAGTGCCAACTGGATGTGCAATAATGGTTTGTGTGTAAAGTATTGCCTGCATCTTATCACAGTAAATTGAAGAGGTTCAGAGCTTTGAGTTGTTTTAGCTCTTCAGATACGTAGAAAATATCTGGATGTTGTAATTTCTTTTGCTAAGAGTTCTGGTGAGTACTCACATCTGTATTTTTTATCATCTACATATAGATATGATTCTAGATATGACACATTTCCTCCTCATATTGGCTTAGGTTGGAAGACTGTACATCACCAAATGCTCTTGTCTGTTCTACAGATATCAACAAATAAAGTGTTTTGCAGTATGAAGATAGCTGCTTTGCCTGCTAATGTCTGACATCCAGGCTGCTTTGCAAGATAAAGCTATGGTGGTTGAACACTCTAACCAGGAATCTTGCAGAATAGACAGATATGGGCGCTCAATGTAGAAATCTATGGAGAGACAAACCTTTAGCAGGACAATCTGAAACAAGGATCTGTCAGTAGGGCTGGAATGAAGAACTAAAGCATTAATTTCTGTGTATGACTGCTAGGACCAGCCCTACTATTGGGCAAAATGAGATAGCGGATTCAGGAAGTAAATTGTCACAAAAGCACACCAAATATTGTTGCCATTGCATGCAATTACTTATTCATGAGAGACTTTCAATGACCAATGACAATGGCCTTGGTCAAGTTTTTCAAACTCAGGGCCATTATTTCCTTTATAGAGTCTGCTGCTGAGCTAGTGGTTTTGTTTTGTTTTATTTGTCCTTCTGGAGAATGAGATTAGATTATCCTTCTTTCTTTATCAAAATACCTTGAGCAGATTTGGGGAATCTGTAGCCTTATTGGGCAAGAACAGTCACAATGAATGAATATCATTATATATTTTTCAGCTGTTATGAAAAGGTGGTCATTCTCTTTTCCTTCTGCCCTCCTGTTCACCAAGCATTATTGTATTTTCTTGTGAGTCAGGTTTTCCATGATATGGCCAAAGTATACTAGCCTAATTTTAGTCATATTGGCTTCTAGGCCTAATTTGCTCTAGATTCCATTTATTTTTCATTTTGACAGTCTAGGATATCTGTAGACCTCCAGCATTACTTTTCAAAGCAGTTGATATTCTCCCTTTCTAGTTTTTTCACTGTCCAGCTTTCACAACTATATATCGAAATGGGAAATACAATGACATGGGCAACCCTAACTTTAGTATTCAATGATATACCTTGACACTTTAGGATCTTATCTAGTTCTTTCATAGCAGCGATTCCCAACCCTAGTCTTCATATTTCTTGACTCCGTTTTAATTCAATGTTGAGCTAACGTACAAAAACCTTGGAAGTATTTCAATGTCATTATTCTCTGTTTTAGAGTTATGGAAATAACATGTGATAAATATTTTTGTTTTCTTAATGTTCAACTGTAAACATTTCAACTTTTAAAAATCTTTTTTGTCACTTTATTAAGTGTTATAACTTCAAAGCATAACAATGCAACTTACAATATACTGCAGACAATTTTAGATAGCTACTGGTTGGACTTCTGCCACTGATTTTAGGGAAGTCCATCATCATCACCATCATCATCATCATCATCATCATCATCATCATCATCATCATCATCATCATCATCATGTAACTCAATCTCCGGTGATAAAACAAATAAAGGCACAAAGCAATATTGTTCTGTGGGGCACGACAAATATACTTCCCTAACTGTATATATCACTAGCTACTCTATATGAGTAAGAAATAGCATCACATGCACTGAATATGATTCAATGTGACACACAGTGCACTGAGGTGGATATAATCTGAACCGAATATGGTCTGCTGTAGGGTTTCAAAGACATATGAATGGAAAGAGTGAGGCAGACACACAAGTTTTCCTAACACCTCGGTCTGTGTTACTGTCACCCTCTGATCAAAGCACACTGAAAAGCAGTTGCATTTGTTCAGAATTTCTAAAAGGACTGTTTATTATGCTATTTTGGTTGTAGTCAAGCATAAAAGTAGCATTAAGGATTATTACAGTGGGCCCTTGCTATCTGCTGGAGTTTGAGTCCAGGATCCCCCATGGATACCAAAATCCATGAATGCTGTATTCCTAGTATAAACAACAGCATCGTTAAAATGGCATCCCTTATATAAATCAGCAAAGTTAAAGTTTACTTTTTAGAGTAAAAAATGTTTTATGGTGGATGGTTGAATCTATGGCTAGAACAGTCTGACTATTTCTGCCTAGTATTACCATGGATTTCAAAGCCTTGGAAACTATTTTTTGCTTTCCAGAAAACGGCTATACTGAAACTCCTAAGCAGACATTTGCAGAACTGAACTGTGTTTTGCTTGCCTATGTGTTGAAATGTAGTAAGATGACATGCATGTTAGGTCCCTTCTACACAGCCGTATAAAATCCAGATTCACATATGCTACACAATAAATGAAAACTAAACCTCTCTATCTGTAACTCTCAGTGAAACTTACTCACAAGTAGACATGCCTATGATTCTGTTGTAGGTTATTCTTTGGCTCCTTCTCACGGCCATATATCCCAGGATCTGATCCCAAATGATCTACTTTGAACTGGGCTATATGAGTCTACACTGCCATATAATCTGGGATAAGAAGATAATTTGGAAACCTGAGCTATAGGCAATGCAGATCAAGTCCTACATTCTG